CAGAACCTCACTGACCTACAGAACCTCACTGACCTGCAGAATCTCACCGACCTACAGAACCTCACTGACCTACACAAGGCAAGGTCAGTGAACAAGGCCAGGCTGATTCTGGCAGATCCTGATCATCACTCTGTGGTGAGTTCAGGTAGCTTCCATCTGGACGCAGGTGTCTCCTGCGTCCAGATGAAGGATGACCAGAGTGAAAAACTTATTCATCCCTGTAGCGATCAAGCTTCTCAATAAACAGTGATTATAATGTCTTATAGTTATTTTAATGTCTCTATGTCTGGTCTGGTATGAATGTTTGTTCGTCCACTGACTGTGAAACAAATTGCCCCTCGGGGATAATAAAGATTCTTGAACTTGTGTCGCTGCAGGCAGGACTGTACTCACAGCTGAGAGCAGTGCATGATTTTAAGCTACTGCGTCCACTTGACATGTGATGGTTAGAGCGTCGTCCATTGTCCAGCCATGACTTTACAACACTGATACATGGTAACAATGAGCTGATCTCTTTTTTAGCTCATCACTCCAAAACCACATGGTGCAGCTAAGGCTGCAGCTCGGTGAAATATTGGCTCATGGTTTTATCAGCCCCTTGTGCACGTTGTCTGAATGTGTGTCTTCATGCTAATATCTTTACAAACTAAATGCTTCTCAGGTACAGTCATGGCCTGATCAAACGTTGTACCTTGATCTGGCAGCGTGTGGGTAAAGTGTAATAAAACAGTACATTGTCTTTCATTTCACCATTTGTCTCTCGCAGTGTTTACGACGAGCACGTAACTGTTAAATATTTTCCGTCACATTGTAAATGATATCAGAGGCTCGTCAGGGTGAAGCAGAAATGGCGACGAACCCTAAAAGAAGAAACTTTATGCATCCTGCTTATTTTATGCCATCTTCATGCTTTTTTTTTTTTTTTTTTGCAGGGACAAATGCTTAGAGTTAAAATTAATTCATGCATTCTGTGTGTTTGTCGCTCGTAAACTGCTCACAGAAGTTTAACATTAGTTCTTATTGTGTTCTGATGTGCTGTGAAGTGCACCACTTTACTCTGAGTCCGTCGGGACGTCGTGCGACAGTTCATCTCCCGTGTTTTTGCCTTGTGCAGGTCACCACACTGTTTACATCGGCGTGCGTGTACCCAAGAGCTCTCGGCGTCGGCGGCGTCACCGCCGGAGAACCAGCCACAAGGACAGAAAGGAGAGGGTGACGGAGAGCGCCTTCGACAAGTCGGACACTGAAACCAACGACGAGGCCAGCAACAGCATCCTGAAACCACTCAGTAAGTTCTGATGGACTCCACGTCAAGGCTGATTAGGTTTCATGTCTGTCTCTGCTGAAGGCAGCTCACTTTTCCAGAAAAAGCCCCCATAACTTCCTGTGACCCCCCAGTAAAGTTGCTGAGTCCACTCAATGCCCATAAATCTCTCCGCATGTCCTGCTGAGTGTTTCTGACAGAGCGGAGTGAGTTTTTACTGAAGTGAGAGCAGCTGGACTGCAGCTGATGTGCAGCATCAGTCCGCGGCTTCCTGACGGCTTCTCACAGATCCGATCCGGTAGTTCCATCCATCCATCCATCCATCCATCCATCCATCCATCCATCCATCCATCCATCCATCCATCCATCCATCCATCCATCCATCCATCCATTATCTTTACCCACTTCTTCCTTTTCGGGTCGCGGGGGTCACTGGTGCCCATGTCCAGCAGTCACTGTGTGGGAGGTTGAGGACACCCAGGACAGGTCTCCAGTCCATTACAGGGACACAAAGACAAACGAGACAAACAACCATTCACTCTCTCACCTAGGGACAGTTTAGAGTTACCAATCAGTCTAACATGCATGTTTTTGGTCTGTGGGAGGAAACCGGAGTACCCGGAGAAAACCCACGCAGCACGGAGAGAACATGCAAACTCCACCCAGAACGGTACAGAGCAGGGATTTTAACCAGCGACCTGCTCGCTTAGAGGCGGCAGCTGTACCAACTGCGCCACCGTGCCGCCCTCGGTAACTCCTGCTTTTTTCCTCTGCTCCTCACTTCCACCTGAGGTTGTTCAAACGAAGCCTTACATCAACGTGTGAGCAGGATTTTCCTTCATAACTTCTTTGTTTTTGTCTGTTTGAGATCTGAGTCCGTGCTTTTTCAAATGTAAGTTTCACTTACCTTGTTTAATTTATTTATTTATTCTAATCATTATCTGAAGTGGCCTGATTATGGAAATTACACCATAAATCATTTTCTTTTAATTTCTACATGAACTAGTAAGCATTTAATCTTTGTACATTTTTGCACAACTTTAAATTGATCTTAGTTTTAACTGTGATGATCTTTAAGGGAGGTTTTTGTTAAAACAATTTATATTTGAAGCAAACATGAGTCACAGGCAGAATGAGAGCTGTTTATTTTTGGTGTTGTTTTGTTTGTTTGTTTTCTACAACAGTTGAAGAGAAGAATGGTATCAAAGAGATTTAGTGTACTGAAGAACCAAGCGCTGACAAATGACATCAAATTAACTTTAATAATTAAAAGACAAACACCCAGAAATGACACTTTTTAGGTTAAAACGTTTATGATTGATCGCTGCATTTCAAATTCCTAATCTTCTCGTCTGACTTCAGCTTTACTTAAACACTTGTCCAAGTGTCCGGCGGCCATGTTTAATCCCTGAAACCTCCTGAGTTTAAATGGTAAACTCAAACAGCAACAACCGTCTCGGCTCCTCGGTGGGAAATCCAAGCCTGAAAACGTTTCGTAACATCAACGCACCGACTGCGCGTGTTTGTGGATCAGAAAATATCTGTCGTAAAACTCATTCCTGCTGATGAAACTCATTAAAACATTAGAAACAGTGAAATGTGCTTTGCAGAAACGTTTGTTGGATGTAAACAAACTTCTGTTTTCCATTTCACACGTGTCATTAAATACACCATCACCTTCTTTAAAAAGTTTAAATTCAAACACGAAGCAATCACCTTCGACTTTTTTCATTAGCTGCTCTATAGTAGTTGTCCTAAAACTTTCCCCTACTCATTTATTCATTTATATACAGTGGAGATCGGAAGAG